GCTGACTACCGTGGCGCCGCCTGGGAACCAGGGCTTTCAATTCTTCAAGCCTCGCACAGGGTGGAGGCCCAATGGCTCTGGGGTTCCCAGCTTCGTGGGCCAGGGTCCACCGGGGTCCGGCCAGAGGACCCACCGACGGGTTCCGGGCCTGTTCGCGCTCGCAGTGGGGGAGGGGCAGCCCAAAGGCCTGCGAGGGAGGAGGGGGGGCAGGGGAGGTGCCACGGGCCAGGGAGGGGTGGGGAGGGGTGGAGAGGGGTGGGCTCCGGCTGAGGAGGAACTCGAGGTCGCATCCAGGCGCATGCACCCACCAGCCTTCTGGTTTCAAAGTACTCCCTTTCAGTCGAAAAGAGGTTTATTTTATTTTATTTTTTTATAGCTGACCTATAAACCTCTGAAAATTATGGCTTACAATGGAAAGGATGACGTGAGGTAGCACAAACTGGCGGCCAGCAGTATTTGTGCGGGTGCCTTGGGCCAGGAGAAGCCGGGGACTGGTGGTGTATTTAAGTTAACCGTTGGGGGCTGTAGGCAACACTGAACGTCCCCGATGGCTCAGGGACAAAGGCTGGGCTCAACCCTTGAGTCTGAAGATGCATCTAGATGTAATTAACTTCGCCTCCCCGCCCCCCCCCCCAGTGCCTAAAAGGGCCTGGAGGAGGGAGATGGGGCTGGACAGATCACTGAGAAATGCCCCAGCAGTGAGGGTCGGGGGGCCTGGCCCCCCTCCAGCTTGCTATCAGCCTGATTACAACGTGGGAATTAGGCCTGCATAGACCTGACATCAGGCTTCAAGCCTCTCCTGTCCCACAACCAGCCCCCCCCCGCTGCCGTGTGACCACAGTGGGGGGAAGAGGAAGCACGATGGCAGTTGAGGCACGAGTGGGGGGCTGCTGGGCCCGGCACCTGGCAGAGTCCCCTGCACTCTACCTGAATCTGGCAGGAGAGGGGCACCTCACAGTCCCCAAGCACAGCTGTGCCCTGCTCTGCACACAGCCCCAGCATGAGAGCCAGGGGCGCAGCCCAGCTGTCCCTCCCTGCTTCCTGCTGTCACCCAAGGGTGGCTTTCTCCAAGGCAGGGTGAGCGCTGCCTCCCAATGGGAAGGCGAACAATGCTATCGTTTCTAGAGATGCCCCCCTGCCCCCCAGCAGGAGCTGCTAGAGATACCTAGAGGGTGCCCTCCACAGGGAAAAAGCATCGGATTTGGAGCCACCATGTGACCCTGGGCACACGTGGACCCGGCAAGACCTTCTTTCCCTCGGTGGGTCTCCGTTTCCTGCCTTTGGCGCCCTGTGGTTGTCATATGAGGATATTAGGGACACAGTAACATCTGGTGGCCCCCAACTCTCTTCTCATCTGTGCTTGTGACGGTGAGAATGGGCATGCGCCCTGCTGTCAGAATGGGCCCTTTTTTCTCCGCATGCCCAGGCCCTGCCCAAGCCCAGAGCACCTGGGAGCAGACTGGCAGCCAGCACACGTGTGGAGTGCGTGTGCGGTGCATGTGCCCTCAGTCAGGGGCTGGCTCCAGCTCCCCTGGGGATCCAGGATGATGGTAATAATAATAATAATAGTACTAATACTACAGCCAACAACCAGGACAACCAGTCTTGGGGCCTAATGGCACGAGCTGAGCAAAGTTCAGCGAGATCTTACCAGCGTAGCCCCGCCATGTTCCCCGTTTGTCTGGGGAGGAAACTGAGACATGGAGCAAGCTACCGGAGGGCGAGTCACTGACCTTGGTGGGGCTGCATCGCCCTAGCCTGTCTCTCGGAAGGCGGGCACGAGGTGGGAAGGGGAGCCAGGCCCCCCGGGCTGCGGGAGGGGAATGTGAGCTCACACGCACAAAGCGTGGAGCCCTGCACCAGGCACACACAGTAGGTGCACAGTGATCGTCAGGGGCTCAGATGACGTGTCTTCTTCAGGCTCCCCCAGACACTGACTGAGCGCGTGCTGCAAGCCAGGCACTGTGCTAGGCTCTGTGCATGGCAGCTTCGTGCAGACCGGGCTGGGCACAGACTGTAGAGCCTTTAACCAGGCAGCGGCTGGGAACGGGCCGCCCCGGGCAGGGGGGGGCAGGGGAGCTGCAGGAGGGGAGGGCACCATGTGTGCAGGGGGGAGGGCGAGTGTGTCTGAGCTGGAGGGTCTGAATGAGGCCGAGAGTGGGGCGAGGGGCTGCTTGGGGTCTCTCCTGGCTCCAGGGGCCCTCGGCCAGCCTGGCCCGCTGCTGGGTGTTGGGCCTCCACACGGATGAAACATTATTTCACCTAACAGTGCCTTTTGGGGTGTGGCTGCCTGGCCTCCCCACTCCCTGTCCTTTTCCTCTGGTCTTCTGGACCTTCCTGGGTCTGATGAGCTGGGGTCAAAGGTTGGATTTTATCTGTAAGCAGTGGGGAGCCCCTGGGGTGCAGAAGTTGCAGCAATTTTAAAAAGCGTGCTGAGGCTGCTGGGTGGGGAGGGAGGCAAGGGTCAGCAAGGGGCTTCAGCGGCCATCCGGGCAGAGTACCTGGTCGGCAACTATTCCAAGGGCCTCCAGCCTGCCACACACCACTCTGGGCACCAGAGACAGGGCGGTGAATGAAAGGGACCCAGTCAGTTCCTCGCAGGAGCTGCCTCTGTCGTGGGAGGTGGCATAGTGAAACGTGCTGAGTGAGCCATGGCAGAGGTGGTCATGTCCCCGGTAAGCGGAGCTGAGCCCCTGTGTCAGGGCAGAGGGCGGGGGGCTACTGTCTAAAGCCCGCTGTGCCAGCCTCCCAGCAGGTGACATCTGAGCTTGACAGGGGAGGGGCACACACCGCGAGGATTAACTGGGAGAGGAGTTCTGGGCAGAGGGCACAGGCAGGGTGAAGGCCCGGAAGCCTGGAGTGTTCACGGAGTGATGGGCCAGAGGGGCTGGGGTGCGAGGTGGGGTCCAGAGAAATGAGCTGGCCTGGCAGGGAGGGCGAGCAGGACTTGCTGGTGGGCTGGAGCAGGTGTGGGAAAACAGGTGGAGGGTTTGGGGCTCCCGTAAGTGGGTATGTGGGTCATTCTCAGAGCTGAGGAAGCCGTTACTGAGAAGGGGAGAAGGGGAAAACAGAGACAGGGCCTCTTGTTTTGGACCTAAATTGTAATCCAGGCCCTTCCCTGCCCTGATTCCCATTCTCACCAGGCCTGTGGACCCCAGGATGCATGTTTAGTGCTCAACCCTGCCAAAGAGGTGTTAGCACTCACAGGCGAGGACTTTCGGAGCCACTGGCCTGGTCGCCAGCCAGGACACAGCTCGCACCCAAGCTCAAGAGCACTTTTCTTAAAAACAAATTTATACATCATTATTAACTAAAGTCGACACTTTATATAAGAGGTCACTCTCAGTGGTGTGCGTCCTGTGGGTCCGGACAGATGCTTGATGACGCGTGTCCACCACCACGGGGTCATGCAGAGTGGGGTCCCCGCCCTAAAGCCCTCCGTGCCCCGCCTGTCCACCCCGCCCTGTGCAAACCCTGACAACCCCCGATCTCTGTCCCATCTCCCTCATTCTGCCTTTTCCGGAATGTCGTAGAGCTGGGGTCGTGGCCTGCGGCCTCCTCAGACAAGCTTCTCTCACCCACTGATGCTCATTGACGGTTCCTCCCCCACCGTTCTCGGCTCGAGAGCTCACTCCTTTTCAGCACCGAAGAAGATCCTGTTGACTGGACGGACCACAGTTTATTTGTCCACACGCCTCCTGAAGGACTTCTTGGTCGCTTCCAACTTTGGACAATTATGGATAAAGCTGTGCAGGTTTCTGGTGTGGACGCACATTCTTAACTCCACTGGGTACATCCCGAGGAGCATAACTGCTGGGCCGTGTGGGAAGACGGTGTAGAGTTTTGTAAGAAACCGCCGCCGCCCCGTCTTCCAGAGTGCTCCCAACTCGGCACGCCCAGCAGCAGTGAATGAGAGTTTCTGCCCAAGGCACTGTTTTAGGAACATTTCTCTTGTGAGGACCACACTGACCACCAGGTTTTAGGTGAATTTAAAAAAAAAAAAAGAGAGAGAAAGAAACTTCATCACAATTTAGACGCAACAAGGACAAAGCAAAGTTAAAAACGCGCACGGACGACAGTGGCTTTCAGTGAGTGCCTCGCGGGTTCCACCGGGCTGGGACGGAGGGCCTGGGCTGGCAGTCAGCTCCTGTTCCAGTTGGCGCTGGTGGATTGCAGTACTGTCCCAATATTTGCTGCCCTGCCTTGCGGGAGGGTTCTACATCACCTGCGGTTGGGACCAGACTTGGCCGACGAGATGTGCTCGGCTTGGCATAGGCTGCGGCTAGGAGCCGCCCTCGGGTGCCACCATCTTCCCTCTCCACCGGGAGACCCGCAGGGTCCCGACAGAGGCTGCTCCTTCCCACCAGGGCGGGACGGTCCCGGTCTGCAGGTGGCCTCAGCCGTCGAGGTATTTGTTATACAGCGTGAAGTACACTGCGCTGACCGCTTCTTTGAAGATCCCAACCCACTGTTTTAGGTTTCCAGGAAAGGCACGAGGGCCCGGTGGCCTTG